GTGTTTTGTTTCACCAGTTTATAAATAGACTAACAATTTATACTGTCGAGATGTCAAGCAGATCCAAGCACTTTATTCAAAATCTAAACACTTTTCAAAACTTAACAAACACAGAGAGCTAAAAAGCTAGAAGTGAGAGCAAATTGGACTAAACTCCAAATGCCTTGTACTTGATGGCTGTGTAAATAAGCAACGATTCCAATATTTCAAATTAATAGGTCAGTAGTTTTATTACTGCTACCGGGAAGTGCCCAGAACTAAAATATCCATGAATCAAGATAAATATACGCAAGTATACATTGAATAATGTGACCTTTCTTTGAAAAGGGAATGCAAACACGAGTGAACGTTTTGTTCCCTTGCAGTAAAAATAGCTTCAGTATGCAATGTTAGCTTTTCTTAAATTGATATTTTGGGATAAGCCCATTTTTGCAGTCGAACAAAATGAAATGCTGATAAACTTGGGAGACTGTAATGCTACTGAACAACAATAATTCATGTCACCGAAGTTCAACAACCACAATCATATTCTAGAAGTGATATTGAGTGTTGTTATCAATCTGAGAGAACTAAACAACACCACAGCAGATTTGGAAAACAGCCTACCATACAAGAAAATTGTACAGTAGTATACAAAGTTAAGAGAGATTGGCATTTTGTCAGGGACTGGACACAGATAAATGGGATAAGGGCTTGCAGAAAATTTATCTTGACAGGATGAAACCACACACATACCTTTAAACGTTTGACCACCTCATCGTTGCTGATTTTGTCCGTAATATCCTTCACTCCGGGGGGGTATATGATCTTCCCGTCCCCCGCCGGTTTCTGCTGTTGCGGGAACTCCATGCTTGTTGATGTCTGGTCCACACGGTCTTCTACTGGCCTCTATGGGTCAGAAAACAAAAGTTCAGCACCACCATGCTACCGCATATACAAAAACCTTGTTTTAAGCATCATTCTCATTTGCCAAGTATGGAATTTACTCGCCGAATTAGTCAAACCGCACCTGTGTACTAAACAATATTATAATCCAGAATACTTTTCAGAGAGAAAGCCAACATTAAACCATCTGCCTGCATAGTATTAGCTCGCATGCTAAAACAACCCAGCTAAACATCAGCTCCATATTCCCAGTAAATTTCTCATCAAACACTGTATCGCTAGAGAAACAAGCTGTGCTGCTATTCCGGTAACCTTACAGCCATTTGAATCGCTAATTGTGTGGAAAGCCAGTTTGAAAATAACAAAACAGCAGCAAATGTATCTTTACTGTCATACAGGTTATCAAATTAGCCAGCTAGCCAGTTGCAGTGCAAACATCATTGGCTAGCCGCTAGCATTTTGCGGGAAGGAAGTAATAATGCTAGCAGCGAGCGGCTAATACACGTTAGCCGTGCTAGCTAACTGGTTAGCCTACTTTGCTAGCGTAGGCCGCAAACTATGGAGGTACCCATCACATCTCCAGCTACATACAATCACAGAGGAAGTAAAGTATCCTATCACCTCTGCCTCAAATAGCCATGCCCGTGTTCAGTTCGTGCGGTTTAAAACAAATGCAACTACTTTGTGAAGTTTTAAAATCAAGCTAATTTACTTGTTTCTGTCTTTTTTCAACTTCAACGCATCGCTCCGTTCTGCCGCTAGTTTACAGGCGAAGCAGGGCTGCTACCGTCGCCCTGAGCCCTCCTCTCTCACACCAACTTGCACCCACAGAGGATTTTTAACATCCTAACAAATGCAAAATCAATCTATTTTCAAATATACTCCTACGACTAAAACAGCAGCACATTTGTCAAGCGTTTCCTCGTTTGTATTTACCTCTCAAGTGGGCCGTTTTAATTCATTAGTCTGACACAGGTTGGTTTTAGTTTTCGGCACAAAGCTCTCTGTCCGCTCAGTCAGTGGTGTCTGTGAGGCTGGGTGCACAGCGCCCCCTCGGTCTCACTGCGGCACTGCAGCTCCACATATGATGGCGGGAGTCAGAAACAAACAACTCGCACACTCTAATCACTTTCTGTCTTTCACTGTATCGTTGCCAATGTGTTCACATGTGCTGACCCAACATGTCTGTCCTTCAACGTGTGGTTGGGGTTTTCTTTAAAATATGTACAATATACAATATGTACAGTATATGAAAGAAAGATACAATTATATGTATGCACATATGCAAAACAAATTACACAGCCTAATAGATGTATGATTTTGTGATGTATTTCGAAGAATTTTGACTTTACAGTATAAAAAATAAGCAAATAATTAGGATTATTCTCAAAATAAATTAAATGTATAATTACAATAAATACACATGATTGGGTTTACTTAATTAAAGAGACAATTCATTTAAAACTACGAACATTAACTCAGATAAGGCTTCATTTTTGTCTCACATTGTTATGAGCACCACCAATACTACTTTTACTTTAATTACTTTTGGCATTAACACCTTAGCAAATCACTATTACACAATTAATTGTGAGAACAATGACACCTGGTGGTGAACTGGTATGACAAATACAATTTAATCGTTGCAGTACCATCTGACATTAAAGGTGGGGTATATAATTTATTTCAGAAACACTTTTTGTTATATTCCATGGAATGCTCTTAACATCCCGATAGCAATGAATATAATAAATGCTTTGACAATAAATACATAAAACAATTTCATCTGTGGAAGCCGTAGCGCTGTAAAAAGCACGACCAATCATTTTAGCCGGCCCGGCTAAAATAACTGGATGGCCTACCTGCCTGTCAGCCTTCCATCTGTGCACAAACTTATCTCGTGCCCTCATTGGTCATGTGCGCGTTCGTGTGTGTTGGAGGACGGGCTCTGTAAGGAAGTGGCTGATTTCTTTCGGCTGTGTATTTTCAAATTCTAGCGCACTCGAGCTGGTTTCTCCAAAATTACCTACCCCACCTTTAAGTAATGTTTAGTTTGTATGACCACTTTACAATTAAATAGTTTCACATGAGTACTTATTATACTTCACATTTTTCTGAATAGTTCTGTACCAGTGGCGGTTCTAGACCAATTTGACTGTGGGGGCCAGGCTGGGGTCAGTTATTTTCTGAGGGGGGCACAATAAATGCAGGACGAAAAAGACAAAGACAGTATAGTAATTGTGCATAAGAAAACAATGCAATACAGTTATTGGTATTTGTTTCAATACACATTATTATATGCTTACCTTTACCTTTTGTGTGCTGTTTGGGTCTGTGGGACCCGTTTTCAGTGTTTACTAAAAGAAGATGTATGCAATTTAATTATTTTAACCTGCTTTATTTGGGGGTGGACCTCACATCCTCTAGGGGGGTCCGGGGGCATGCTCCCCCGAAGTTAAATGCATCAATCTGGTGCACTTTGAGCACAACATGAATTTATGGATACAGCTCTCAACACTCATATGAAACGGAGCTGTATACTTCTCAATAATCCAAAAATCTTTAGAATATGATCTCAACCAATAACAAATAATTTAAACTTGTTTATTCTTATCTTATGTTACCTAGTTAGCATTCTTTCTTTTTATTTATGCATATTTGACTAATCACTAATCACAATTTTTTTTTTTTTTACTGTCCTTGTACACATTGGAATGATTTCTTACTTTATTTTTTACACTTATATTAAATAGATAAAGATGTGCTCTCTAGCTCTCTCGCGCTCTCTCTCTCTGTCTCGCTCGCTCACAGAGGCTGTGTGCTGTGTGATGACGGCTTGCGTTAAAAAAAAAATATTTGTAAAGTGGGGGAAACAAGATTTCGAAAAGTGGGGGGGGCATGTTACGCCATGCATAGCCTATGCGTCAAGTGCAATAAATATATGCAAGTTGCAACACACAAACAGTAAAACTCTGCCCCTCATGTGTTGTATAGGCTGGCATGACTAGGCATGTGTTGTGTAGATTCTGCCAGAAGGAAAATCACGATCAAACTCCTTATGAAGTAGTGAGGTGCCGCTCCACATTGCTTTTCTTCCCGACTGCAACGCTGGTCCCGCAAATCAAGCCAGAATGTGATTGGGCAATATTCATTGTGGGGGAGGAAGGGTGTTAGATAGATATAGAGTTGTAGTAAGTAGATAGAGTTCGCCATGATTGAGGTTTCGTTTATGCATAGGGTAGATTCTTTTAATTACATTTCCTTTTTTTGTGTGTGTATTTTTACATTTTGGATTTGCTTGGCGAGCTACTCGCGATAGACGTGTTGGAGACCCCTGCTCTAATGGGTCCGACTAGAATGACAAATATCGTTAGTTCCGCCTATTCCGTCAGCCAAGAAATCGTTTAATCATAAACTTTTTTTTTTTTCATTTTCAGGGGGGCCACAGGGGGGGTCCAAAATCAGTGTTAGGGGGGCACTGCACCCCCCTGCCTCCCCCCCCCCCCCTAGAACCACCCCTGTTCTGTACCTCTACTCAAGTAATATTTTTATTGTATTTTTCATACTTTTTCATAACCCACATGTGCCCGAATACTATAATATAGAACAATTCAAATCATTAGTTCTGATTACTTTAAAGGCTTGAAATCGTGTATGGAAATATTTAAGGCAGGTATCTATCAACGACATTTTGACACTTTGAGATCCCATGAAAAAGCATACTTATTTCAATTATGATTTTGAGAGTAAAAACGTGTATGCTATTTAATAAATGTCTCATGTGTGAAATGTTTTTTATTTAATATGTTGGTATTCATCACTTTTCAACTTGTTTGTGTTCATGTTATGTTCATGTTAGAATTATTCTGTTCTTAGTAGTATAGACAGTTTCCTATCATACACATTTGGTGTTTAGGAACAAGGTTTTTTGTGAAATATATTGAAATGTATATATAAAAAACACAAGAATATGAAAAGAAAAACAAACAAACGTATCAGCCAAACGTTTCAATAATAATAAAAAATGCATAGACAGATCTATATACAACTTCCACCAAATGAGATACAAATGTCAGTAGCGGGCACAAATAACACACTGTTTTATCAAACCAAAGTAACACCACTGTTTCATCCACATCAGTCCAGGCATTGTTCCGAGGGCCAAACTCAATTCTCATTAGGGACCCTGTGCCGGGCAACCTTTTATTTTGAAGTGCTGTCTTGATTTCCGGTTTGCACATTTCAGGCGGACTTGGCACGATTCACACTATCTGATGTATTTCCACCACTTGGAGTGCTGTTTAGATATTCTAACCTTGAGTTGTTGCACTTTGGTTACTCTCCCCGACACTAAAGAAGCATGATTTCAGCTCCCGGACACCCTTTCTGTAGCTTCTCTGCTAGTTAGTTAGCTCCGTGTAGCCGCTAATGCGAGGGGACGGTGGCTCCGGTATGCCTCGGCGGAAGAAAAACGGCCAGAGCCCGGCCAGAGTCCCAGGCGGCGGGCCGCTGGAGGGGGGGAGCCTCAACCGACTACCTCCGGGATTTGACGGTGCCATGGCCAACAACTTTGCATCCAGCACTTCGCTCTCCAGCTCCGAAAAGGAGAAAATCGTCCAAAGCATGCAGGAGATGTTCTCACACCTGGACCCCGAAGTTATATACATCGTGCTGTCCGAGTGTGATTTTAAAGGTAGCACTAAACACGGAAGACAAATCTGCTGTGTGACTATTTAGTGTGTTAAACCAGTTAGCTGGGTAGCTTGTTAGCTGTGTATTTCTGACAGATATTTACTACATGATATTACTGCATAGTCCCATTATTATTGACAGTGATCAGCAGTCCTCTAAATAAAACTGCACATTGCATTCCATGGCTCTCCAGCCTGTTCCACCTGTTGTGCCTTTTAGAGTCCCGCACTATGTTCCTGAAACTAATGAATAACATATATATATTGTATGTGTCAGACAGAATCTTGAACTTATTATTTTTAATACACTTCTAAAACTTTGTTTTTATTTTGTCCTTTAACGATCAATTCAAATTGAATACAGTATTGCAACATTGAATCATGACTTGAAACCCCACTCTTTTTGGTGTCTGTGGTGTCCCTCTTTTTGTGTTGCAGTTGAAAATGCAATGGACTCTCTCTTGGAGCTGTCTGTGGCTGCTGAAGTTGCAGCCCCTATGCCTTCTCATGTTTCTGGCTTTGAGCTCACTGCTGCAGCCCTTCTCAGACCGCTTCACTTTTCTGAACCTAGACCTGACTCCTCCAAACCACCTCAGCTGCCCTCTCCTCCCTCCAGCAGCCTCCTGACAGAAGAGCTGGACTTGCTTGTCGATCAGGAGCTAGAGACACTAACCGCACAACAATGCGCTAAGGAAGATCACCACAGCAGCCCGTATTTATCTGTTGGTATGTCCCTTTCCTTTTTCCCTCCACCACCATTCCCACAGCAGGTCCTCCCTGAGCTGCTTCAGTCCAGCATGCAACCTGGATCTAGAGGGTCCTCTGGAGGTGGCCCAGTGGAGCATATTTCCGGAGCCTCCTCTCCGCTTGACCAGCTTAGCATTTGGGAAGATGAAATGGTTGAGAAGCAGCAGTCGAGGGTGGATTTTACACATCTGATGACAGAGAATCCTGCAGACAAGACTAAATCTCCTCTGGACCTGGCAGCCTCGGGACGTCCCTCTGCTTTCCAGGTGTATAAAAAGCAAGACCCATTGCACACTCTACCAGACAGCGCCAGGGTCATGCCCTCTAAAGCAATAGTTGGAGGAGCGAGATCTAAGGTAAACATGTTGAACCAGGAACCGCTTGGCTACATACCTTTGCCCTGGAACCCTCAGGCACCAGTGTTTTCTCCCCGTGTCCATGGAAACCAGGGGCCAGCCTTCATTACCCCTGTGGCTTCCAACTGGCCCAGGATGCCCAGGCATGCCTCTCCCTGGCTGAGTCAGGGCCCGGTCGGCCAAGCACCGCTCAGACCTTCTGCTACTATCCCAAAGTCCTGGGCCCTGTCTGCTGGGCCACATCCCCCCCCCCAGTACAGCAGGCTACGCTTGGAAGGGAGGGTCCTTGTGTTGTTACGCGGGCCTCCAGGATCTGGGAAGTCTACCATGGCAAGGTGAGAATGCTGGGATACTCCAAAAAGCAATACGCTTTAAACTCTAGTAACATATGCTGGTATGGGTCAATTTAGGATTGTATAACATATTTTGATAGAAAACACAGGTTCAATTGATTTGGTGCTGTCTGTCTTTCTCTCATGGAAGAACATTTAAAATTGAGCCTGCTTTAAATGATACAGGAATTATCATCTGTTAGAAAAATATCACTCGTCACCGGCTTGAGCTTCAATATCAGGATACATGTATTTATTATCCTTGCAAGAATGGAAGTAGTCATCACATACAGAGCATATGGTACAACTAGTTCCTGAACAGTGTCCTTCACATGCTTATATACAAGAGAGGGTGTTACACAGTCACAAGATGCAGGAATACCGGTTCAAAGCAGTATAGAATGTTTAGTTTAGATAAGGCCCATGTCAGAAATGATCATCATGCTTGTCATATGTCTATCTCCATAGAGGCTGATTCATGATGTTAATCATTGTCACATAGCTATCATATGCCTTAAACAGTGTGTCCTGAAGCTTTTCTAGGTAATCATACATCCTGTTACGTACACAGCTATGTAGGGCCTGTGCTACTCTGATATTGAAAGAGTACATTCAGTGTTTTCCCAACATTATCAAAAAAACACACACAATGTTGCTCTTTTTTGGTATTTAGAAGTTATATATTATTCTAACATTAATTGAGGAATGTTATAAATACTAGAAAACTATCTGGTAAAGTATATATGCATGCAATTTGAAATCGTGAAATGTATGTGTTTCTGCAGAGCCTTGTTAGAGCACAACCGAGGTGGGGTTATTCTGAGCACTGACAATTATTTCACTCGTCACGGAGAATATCAGTTTGACCCCACTGCTCTGGGGGAGGCCCATGAGTGGAACCATAAACAAGGTAAACAACACACACCAACAGCTATGATAAGATGTGATGCATCAGTAGCAAGTCAATAGATTGTTTTATCTATGTCATTGATTGACATTGTTTCATTTGAGTGCTGTGTGTAAAATGACAAGTGCTCTGTTTCTCTTGTGTGAACTTTATTCCATAGCCAAGGAGGCGTTTGAAAGGGGCGCTAACCCCATCATCATTGACAATACCAACATGCAGGGCTGGGAGATGAAACCCTATGTGGCTCAGGTCAGTCTGCTCGCCTGTTTTACATAAAGCATGGTTACTCAGCTCTCCCATGGCTAACTGATTTTTCTGTAACAATAATTGTTTTGGAGGAGAAGTTCATAAAACTCAGCCTGATGAATACTTTAGTACTGCAGAGATAACCTTCAGCTACGTCTCGGTTTTGTTCTGTCATTGAATACTAATACTGTCTGATTAGCCATTTAATGCATTAATGTATTACTCAAAATGTACTTACTGGAGCACGTTTCATTGCATCACTTTTACCTTAATAACATGTCCCTGCTGATGAATCCCCAGGGCTGTTTTCTTTCTGAGCTGTCTTATGCCTTTTAAAGATGAAAGATTAAAGGATTTTATTGTCATATGCACATTAGCTACAGTTTAGTTATGGCAATGGAAATCTTAAATCCCAAGCACCTCCAACAATGCAACATATTATATATAGGACATAAGACAAAAACATTCTTATACCTATTTTATCAGGTGGACAAAGAATGTAGTTCTTAAACAAATATATTGTTGGAGTACAAAGCATTTGAGGAAAAGCTGGTTTAAAAAGTTGCTGGACTTAGTATAGAACATTTTGTTCTGAACCGTAAAAAAAATGGTTGGTCCCCTGTCTGTTGTAGGCACTGAAAAATGGATACAAGGTGCTGTTCCGAGAGCCGGACACTTGGTGGAAGAGCAAGCCCAGAGAACTTGAGAGGTGAGGGAGAGGGAATAATTATAGTAGCAATCTTTTTTTCTGTAGAATGAACTTGGATTATTTTGTTGCACATAAAGGAGCGAAATGCTGTTGTAGATTATTTTATATACCCCAGATGTGTGTTTTGTAACTCTGTTAATGTGTTTCTATGTTTCTCTTCATGCATATGCAGACGTACCAAACATGATGTGCCATTGGAAAGAATCCGACGCATGCTTAATTCTTATGAGCGCTACGTCACAGTCCAGTCCATCATGGGCTCACAGATGCCTGAGGTGAAACAGCGGCTCGCAATGGAGAACAGAAGCCCACAGTGAGTTTCAACTATGAATGTTTGTATTGGAGACAGGACATTTGCTTTGTATCGCATTGAATTCAGTTTTGGCCCATTGTGTCTCACACAACCTGCAAAGCTTATCATTTATTTATTTATTAAAAGATTCCATGTAAATATTGTCAAAGTCAAGTAATTCAAACAGTACTGAAACTGACTGAGTGTAGTCTCAAAGAGCACAATATTAAGATTCTTGCTGAGAACTGATGAAATCTAAACAATTCATACCAATCGTATCATTATTTTTAATTTCACTGCATTACAACCATATCTAGTATCTACTGGTGACTTTACCTGCACATTTTCAAATAAAAACAAATGAGTATTAATTTGGCATATATATTTACATAACATTTTCTCAATTTTTCCTACTGCATTTAGCTCTCCATTACTGTTTTCCTTAAGTGAACAATATTTTTAAGTTGACCTCACTTACACCGCTGAAACAATTCCAGTGTTCAATTGCTAACCTAGTTGTATCAATCAATGCTTTCATTTATTTTTCTTTTTTTTATTGCATTTTGATTGTGACTGCATATATTGTATGTACCTTGTCACCATGGGAGATGAGGGAAATTTTTTTCAAGTTTTCTAATCAAAGAAAGTAAGAAATGGATAATCTGAGTTTTATAATTGCACAGAAGGTTGTAAAACCCATTGTGGTCAATTAACATTACATTACATTACATGTCACTTGTTGGACGCTTTTATCCAAAGGGACTTACATACTCAATACTGTGGGCAATCCCCACAGGAGCAATTTGGGGTGAAGTGTCTTGCCCAGGGACACAACGACATGCTGACTGCAGTGGGGTTTGAACCCTGATCCGAACACCAAGGCACAACCCACGGCACCACATGCCTCCAATTAATGAATATCAATCGATTTTTTGCTCATCTAATAAACGTAATTCTTGCAACATCATTAGCCTAAATCAGACCAAATGTTGATATTTTTCTCCCATAATTAGTTATTTTAATTTGACCATTTAATATATTTTGTTTCCTCTAGGCCGGTGTCTTCTGAAACACCTCGCCCTGACCTTGTGGGGCAGCCTGGATTGACTGATGGATTTAAGCCCCGCCCTCAGCTGTTTTCCTCTCTCCCTGACGTATCATCTATTGGTCGCTCTGGTGACGTGGGCATGCTGGAAGATGGCCCCAACGAATATACGGAGTCTCTAAATGTACAACATACAGAAAGTTTTACAGAACACCCTGAAATAAGTGACGAGGAGGAAAATATGGATTTGGGCGAATTAGATTCTGAGTTGGACGCCCAGATGGATTCAAATCTTCCAATAGGAGATCAGAGAATCCCTGACTGTATTGTTGAATCTGTAATGAGCGAAGTTCATCGTGGGGATGAATTGCCCGTGGCTTTCTCTGAGTCTATTGCACAAAGAGTGAGGAGAGAAAGGCCAAGCAGGAGGTCTGATTTTGATAGGTCGGAGCCTGCAGATGTGGTGAAAGATACTAACCAATCAGACAGCGAGGCAAAGGAGAAGGAAATACCAAAGGAAGCAGAAGGGGTTGAAATAGTGAGGGATGGGAGAGAGAAGGGAAGGCCTTACATGTTGGATTTTGTAGGAGATTGGCCTTCTGAAGGGTCCCTGGAGCTGAGACAGGTGAGGAGAAGTGAAAGACATGAAGAAGCAAATGGGAAGAAAGAAGAAGTGTCTCAAGAAGCTCAGAAAAAGAAAACAAAAGTGCAGTCAGGACCAAATGTGACAGAGTTTCAGAAGCTTCTTGATCTTATTCAGACGGGAGTAGCTGACATTCAGACCGACTCTTCCCGTTCGTCCTCTCTTTCCCCAACGCCTAGAGAGGAATTGGAGAAAGAAGAAGAGGCAGCTGGTATATTTGGGGACTCCCATGAAAGTAGATCCAACAGAGAGGAGAGTCAACAAAACATGACTCAGGATAACTGCAGCAGAGCTGAATTACCTGACTGTGTGTTAGACTGGAAGGCAGCGGACTCTGCGAAGGTCAAGGACTCGAGAATAGATCATTGGGAGGGACAGAAAACTGAAAACGAAGCTAGTAGAACAACAGGAGGGAATGTGTTAGAGATGGGAAGCGAAACAGGCTCTGTAGATGTGATATCAACTATCCCAACAAATCCCCTCTCTGATCCAATTGCTAGTTTACTCGAACCCTCCAACACTGTGGAGGCAAGTGTATGCCATGATGGGCAAGCAAGCCACAATATTGAATGTGAGGTAGGCACAGAGCCTGAGACAAGTGTTGAGGCTGATCAGAGTCATGTTAGTGATGCGTGTCAGAGTCCTGTGTGTGAAGGCTCTGTAGAAACAGAGAGCAGTTCCGTCAGTGGAGGCAGTCAGGAAAGGAGGCTGCGCCCCGGTCGTAGATCAGGGAAACAGTGCAAACTAGCCCTCACCTTCACTCAAAACTGCCCTGCTTCTTCAATGAACAATCTTGAAAGTCCCAATACCTCAACCCAAAGTATAAACAGCACTCAGGATAGTATTAAGACAGATATTGAACCCGACAACTGTGACATTAGCCTTAGTATTAAACCAAACTCTGATCTGTCCATCGAGTCCAATTCTGAGGCCCAGCTGCAGCCTCCTTCCCCTCTTCCTCTTCCTCTGGTAGACGGAGGCCACCACACCCAAACTGAACCTCAAGACTTTGCCCTCCTATGGCGTCTCAACCATAAAAACAGCAGTGATGATGCAGTGGTCACCGGGGACATCACAGTCCTGTCGGGAGACTCCTTTCGCTTCGTACCAGAGCGCTCCTCCGCCGTCTCTGCAGCTGTGGCAGTTCACCACTCCGGCCAAAGAGAGGTGCCCTACCATGTGGCGCATGAGAAAGGCACACAGGTGGAGGAGAAAGATATCGGGTCAACTCAAGACCGGCTTGAGAGCCTGCGCATCCTCAGCCGCCATTTCAAACTGGTGAGTTTCGATATGTTAGAAGATCTGTATGACAAATGCCATCAGGACTTGGAATGGACGACCAACCTGCTGCTGGACTCCGGAGAGAGGTTCTTCAGAGAGGACGATGGTGGGAGAGAGGAGGAGGAGGAGGAGGAGGAGGAGGAGGAGGGTGGTGGTGGGGGGGATGAAGATGAGCAGATCACATCCGGTCTGTTTGGAGCTTTGGACAAACCTGTAGGAAATAGCTTATGTCCTAATGTTTTAGACGAGCATCACCCTGAAGGTCAGCCAAAGGGAGAGCAGCATGGTGAGCAGTCAACCTCTGACACAGTTAGAGAATCAGATGAGAGCAACAATATTACCGATGTGCTCAGTTTAGGAGGTGCCGCTGTTCAAGTTCAAAACAAAGAGCATCCTGATACAACCTCACACTTAGAAAGATCTCTTCAAGCAGAACTCAGTCTTCCTCATGGCGTAAACGAAGGAGGGAGATGTGGTGTCACTGAACACAAGGTTGCCTCAGAAGCTGTTTTGGAAGGTGGCGTTTGGGGTCAAAGCTCAGAAGACGGAGTAATAATTGAAGAGTCAAGAGTTGAGATTGAGGAAGAGATTGCCAGCATGGAAGAGGTTCACCGGCTGCTGCAGGCCGAGTTAGAGGAGAGTGAGCACGACCAGAAGGAGAGGAGTGAAAGGAGGACCATGGAGGAGAGGAGGAGCAGCCACATGGACATTCAGAGTGTGGAGCTGAAACTACCCACGGAGCTGGCTCTGCAGCTCACTGAGCTGTTTGGACCTGTAGGAGTAGACCCAGGTAATGACAAACACACAGAGACAGAAGATGCATAACATGTGATGGCACATTCACCAAAGACGAGGAATGACATTGCATGATTTTTGTAATTTGCCCCGCCAAATGTTGCAGCTACTGATACTGTTTTAGGAGTCAGTAGAAAACGTAAGGGGGCAGTTTGTCGTTTTTATAAAATGATAAAGGATTCTGTATGCAGCTGCCCTCTGAATTGAAATGTAATGCACTGTTATACAATCTGACAAGCAGCAGGCATTTTGTGTTAAGCTGAACCAAAAAAAGAAGCGTTTATACTACCCTGGTATTTAAAACTGACAAAAGTGTATCTATCCTCTCCTGCCAACGATATTCAGGATCATGCCCAACTGATGATTATGCAGTGAAGATGGACCTGCACCTGGCCAGACTGCTCCACCAGAAGTGGAAGGAGACCATTCAGGTGAGCCTGTTAAGAGCCACTATAACAATTGATATGTTCATAATAACAAGATGTCCATTGACAATGTGAAATGCTTCTCTCATGGTTATCAACAGAATCTGCAGCTCCTTTACTCATCAGTTATTGCAAGTTTCATATTTAACAGCAATACTTAACCAGCATCAGTTCTATCCATGCAATTAGAATTGTATGCATTTTTGTATCAGGACAGTGCACAGCTTCTTAGCTGTCCCAGAGTTAGCTATAGGCTAATTTACATTTGTAGTGCCTTGGCAGGAAACACAATTATATCTCTGTTGTATCCACCCTGATATTCTGCTAATTGTGAGTCTATCTCTGTTTTTCTAATTTGACTGTGAATGCTGTTTTACAGGAAAGGCAGAGACATGCAGCTCTTTCATTTCACCTGCTTCAGGAAAGTAAGTACACACACACATATTTCAAATCTATGGAGCACCATGGGATAATAACGGCATATTTTGCTCAACATATTATTACCTCAGTTACATTCACACTCACAGACTTTTCATCTGTTGATTTTATTTACTTTTATTTGTGTTCAACCATATTGTCCCACTCAAACCAAAATGTAGTTTGTTTTTCACACAACATCATTTTGTTTCACTACCTATGAATGTATAGGTTCAGCACACTGGGGAGACTCACAGAAGTCCAGATCTGGATCTCGAGAGCGAGCACGTTTCCTGATTAGTGCGGATGGTTACGAGTCACTGGACAGCCAACCAGAGGCCGGCGCTCCGATGCCATACATGGACCACTGGAACATGTCCCAACCACATGTGTCTCTTAGAGATATTATCAAAGAGGAGCAGGCTTTGCAGGAGAATGTGAAAAAGGTATCACATTTGTTTCAATCCTGTTCTGTGTAATAAATGTCATTTATATTAATAAAATATGAGTGTTTATTTATACACATTTTCTTTAGTTTTTCCAAACTATTCCTCAAATTGTATTCTTTTAGTTTTTGTTTCACACATTATTTCTGCAGTTTAAAAGTCCACAAAATCTCTAAATTTGAAAGCATGTGACTTCATGTATGTATGTAACATTATGTCACTTCTGTTAAACATATCCATACCAGGGTTTCCGCTAGGATTTTTTCTTGCCGGTCAAATGTCCGGAAAGAATTTATTTTACCGGACAAATTTGAAACTTACCGGTCATGTTTCAATAATAATGATAAGAATTGTGTAGCAGAGTTTCCGTTAGCAAGTAATTACCGGACTATGACCGGATATGCTGATGTTTAAAACTCAGTTAATGGGAGTCATTTTTATATTGCTTCAGTTTATAATCGTAACAGATCGAAAAGTTCAGATTCATTTTTCAATAAATGATTCCACAAACAACAAACAACATAATTATTACATTCAAACAAACTACTTATAGTAGATAAAGTACATTATTCAAAAGTTTACATTAACTTTGGATAATAACACGGGAGAAACGGACCCTCTCTTTTCCCCTCTCCCTCCCTCTCTCCTGACAGCCCGTCAGTTTCTCATGCAGCTCGCTAAACAGTGGGCGGGGCTTCAGGTGATCATGCAGAGCTGCGTGTCTCCGTCAGACTCAGCAGCTGATCTCTGATCTCTCTCTCGCGTCCGGTTATACTTCACTCGCGTCCATATCGATCAGATCCAGCTCTCCTGATCGGCCTTTATAGAGAGCACCGATCAAACTATTAAGAGTGAATATCGGCCGATAATGACCAGCGGCCGATCGATCGGAGCATCCCTAATTATTACCGGACATTTTGACCGGCAGGTTTTGAATTTACCGGTTTTTTATACATTTTACCAGCTAAAAACCGGTAATTACCGGCTAACGGAAACCCTGATCCATACATATTCTGGTTTGTTCCCCACATCCTAACCTCTTTCCAAACCTCTTCCTCTAAGACCAGACAAGGCCGCGCAGACCTGGACCTGCGTGATGGAGCCGCCATGTTGAAAGAGAACCAGCTGTTCGCCCTCTTCCCCACCATTGACAGACATTTCCTCCAGGACATCTTCAGGGACCACAAGTAAGAACATTACATTGACAATGTATTTGTTTGATTTGTTTGACAGAGACTCTATTATCGATTAAACATGTATGTGATGTGTTAAAGTACAGTTCCTTACTCTTTTTATTTGTTTATTCTTGCATAGTTACAGCCTGATCCAGACAGAGCTGTTCCTTCGCTCTCTACTAGACGAAGGGCCCGTAAAGACAGTAGTTGCCCCCGAGCCTCCTCGGTCCGACCACCTCAGAGCAGCCAGCAAGGAGCGGGAGAAGGTACTGGCAAACACCAGCAGGGAGATGAAGAGATGTGTCCTTACTGGTTACTGGCTTTGCTAAACTGCTGTGTGTTTCTCTATGTCCCCTTTTTAATTTGCCAGAGGCAGAAGCCCCCGGAGTCAACCGTACTCGACTATCAGGATACGGAGGACCCGGACTACCAGGACTTCAGGGCCGAGGCCAGCCAACAAAGGGAGCGACAGCTCGAGTGTTTCTCCAAGGCTGCTGAGGCCTACAAGCAAGGAAGGAAACAAGTGGCTTCCTTTTACGCACAGCAGGTGAGGTGCTGGATGTCTTACAATAATATTTTCACTCGTAAGGCAATGTCTTTTGTCCAACACTGTGGGGGGAAATATTATCATTTAGATCTTCTTGTATTGTCTCTTTGAATTTGCAGCTCTTATTTTTTTTGTAATCCTCCACTCACAGTTTATGCATTTGCATCACCTCTCCTGTAGGGACACCTGCATGGCCAGCAGATGCGTGAGGCCAATCACCGAGCAGCAGTTCAGATTTTTGAGAAGGTGAACTCATCGCTGCTGCCCAGCAACATCCTGGACCTCCACGGGCTGCATGTCGATGAGGCCCTGCAGCATCTGGCCCAAGTCTTACAGGACAAAACCACAGGTAATTACGAGGGCTCTCCTATGCTGTATGTTTACAAATAATAGTCATTTGAAGATAAATTAATTTTTTGTAAATGTGTTAGGGGCATTTTACACCTTTTTTTATTTGTTAGTCCAAGTTGACCCATGATAGGGAATGAGGGGAGATGCATGTGGAATGACACATGTAATGCCACTTAAGTCATAGCCCACCACTGCCACTAAAATCCAAAACATTTTCCTGCATTTCCTTCTGATCAGTCTCAGGGTCCTGAAGTGGTAACCCTTCTCTTTTCAGAACATTTGGCAACATATTTTGCTAAGCATCAAGATGATAGATGTTGCAAAATACAGAAATTACTATCAAGCATTGATAATCAGAATATCTTATCAAGGACACTTGCAGAAGTTTGTGTTCCCGTCGCTTTGTCAAAGTTTGTGCGAGCTTCTCCCCTTAACTGTATGGTGTGTGTTGGTTTGTTTTTCTTTGATCCTCTTTCTGAGTAGACTGTGAGCAGGGTCTGTGTCGACCTCAGCTCTCTGTCATCACAGGAAGAGGGAACCACAGCCAGGGGGGCGTGGCCCGCATCCGCCCTGCCGTTATAGACTACCTCACCAACAAAAGCTACAGGTACAGACACACAGAAAACACACACACACACACACACACACACACACACACGAACACACAAAAAAACATACAAGCAGAGCATGTTCATGGTTACCCACCTTTTCTCCTATCTCTTCATCTCTCAGGTTCACGGAGCCAAAGCCAGGTCTCGTGTTGGTCTCTTTGAAGTGAGAAGAACCGGGTCTATTGGATTCAAGCTTAAGCTGCTATAGAGGACAACACACACACACACACACTTCTACAACGCTACATATACAATTACTATAGTTTATACAGTACAATACACTCGATTTGTTTTTGGTACCTTTTTTATTTTGCTTTCTCTCTATGTTCACTCCATAAGTCGTCTTAATCTTTGGGAAATTTAGGAGAATTTGGGTTAAATCATAAACTTGATTCAGATCTTAAAAGAGTTTTATTTTGTGGTTAGAATAAATTGAAACACAAATAAGGTATTTTTAAAGCAGCTGTAAAGCTAGAATGTATGTACATTTTAAAATAAAATAGTTTTATAGTGTTGCAGAATATACTTTATGTTTATCTTTAAGCCTTTTTAAGATAATTTTAAAATCGAAATCCCTTTTGTTTTGAAGGCTTGATGTTGAATAAGGTGTTATTTAATGGACTCATCTGCAGTAATGTTTGAGACGTATTATGAGGATTTTATCAGACTTGAATTATGATTGCATGCTGTCTTCTTGGAGGTTGCTCTCTAGGAATTTAAGTATTATGGCATCTTTTATGAGGCACTAAAAAGTATGGATTTAATCCTCCATTAATGCATGCGATCTATCCAGATGCTAAGGAGAAGGTTTTTTGTGTCTCTTGGTTTTAGTGTTCCACAGCCAGTTCTTAAATATTGTTAACATCCTCCTTTTAGAGTTCTGCTGAACATAAAACGGCAACTGCTTATTTTCTTAAGGCCGAACCAAGCTTAGCTGCTAATATGTGGAGATTCAAACTCAGGAAAAGATACATCAGTGTTTGGTTTTCTTTTTTCGAGGCCAATTGACTTACTTCTCCAGCCCTTTCATGGTAGCTACTTGTTTTTTTTAAAGCGTTGTGCCAAATTTTTATAGCAGTTTTATTCCTCAGGTTGCTTCTCGATTTTTGTAGATTTAAAATAAATCCTCTGTTTTTCTATCTGTGTGATATTTTTCATATTGGTTGAACAACAATGTTGAACAATTTTACTGACTGTACATAATGTTGTTGAATTAATTATAAAGAGAAATGTGTATTTTTATATTCATTTGTTCAAATGGTTTTACAGAAAATATTGTATTGTGGAATAAACTCACATTTGTTTACAATTCATGACTACTGCATGTATGGCTTTACACCAGAAACACATGTGTATCTTGTATTTTTTTATGTATTATTAAATATCACTAAAATAACAACCTAACAAACAATAAGCTACAGGAACATGAAAAAAAAAGAAAAATCAAGTCCATTCATATTTATAATTCACGATCAAATAAGGATACAAACCTTCGGTTCATAAACCAGTGTCCATTTATTCTTTCTTTATCCACTTTATCAACACTTAAGCTATTCAAGAGCATTATAACTTGAGTAATTGTTCATTATGATAATACATTACAGTTGTGATCAAAGCAACAACTTTTAAGATTTTTGAATAACATTTTGAAAATCCATAAAGGAGAAAAACATGTAAAAGCCCAGCTGCTGTGGGGGAGGAAGGCAGAAGATTGTGTCACACCTCCACACTGCGACGAGCGGATGTGCTTTACTTTTCTTTTCTCATACTTTCTCACTTCCCTCCTCTACTTACCGAACTAGGCTTATTCAGACAGATGCCAAATTACTTCGCCCGTCTGATCGTCACAAGTAAATACAGACTTTAATAAATGTGTTTGAGGGCATCTGGTTCAGCAGATTATTATAAATACCAAATTGTTTCTGGAGTTTAAAGGATTTCGTCTTCTGTCGTCAAAAGCGGCATCCAGCATCGGCCGTTTAGAGATCGAAAAGACTGACAAGAAAGGTAATTATCTTTTTCTTTGTCTTGATTTGTTTCCATTTCTTTTATTTGAAAATGTAATTCATACTTCATAATGATGGCAAAAACCGACAATATTTTTCAGACATTTAAACTATTAAGTAAGTGAAGACTTCAGGGTGTTCCTCTCTCATTGGAACAAAAGAATATTGTTGTAGGTGAATGAAAGCACACTTATAATAAATATTGTACATTCCCTATAAAACCAGCATTGTACATGAAGTAAAAAGAGTTAAATCAGTTGCACTCAGTGTTTGAGCCCTGTTTTATGGCTTTATTCATTAATTTGTATTTATGTATTAGGAAAATTAATTGCTCTGCCACTGGACTTAAAGTAAGACTACTTTTGACTACTTTCTGAGAGATAAATTCAAGAGTTGAATTGTGGAAAAAAAAACTGATTAAATTGTCCCATTTACGGTTATGGTGGTCTTTCCATCTATGTGTCATGGCAGGTGGTTTTGAGGTTGTAACGTGTAACTGCTGCCTAAATGAATTATTCAACGTGTATGCACCAGAGAAGTCAAAAGAAACCATCAGCAGTATTTTAGCGATCAATATTAAATGAACCAACAAGATTTCTATCTTCCCGCATGTAAAACTATAACAGAGACATCATTCTCCATGATCAGATGTCCGTTAATGGGCAAACTGCAGAATCAGGACTGGTTATGAGGGAGATTCATTACAGGGAATGGAGCCTGTAAGTCTATAAATATAAGCTTGGTAATACAGAGAGCATGAATATGTTGTTGGTAAGCTCCTGTTAAACTCTTCAAAATTATAACTTGAACTCTGGGTCACACCCAATCACATAAATCTTTACTTCCGTATTTATTCAATACTATATTGTACGTGACGTTGACCTTTCTCTGTAAATAGAAAATGGTGCTGCCATAAAGACAAAATGTCATCTTCAAATACAATACTCTAGCGATTGACTAACTTTTTTAGTTACTCATTATTTGTCATGTTTAAACATGTTCTATGAAGAGCCACACTGCTGTCGTTTTGTACGCCATGTTGCATGATGTATGAGAAGAAACTGTAAACTGTTCTAGATTAAGGTTTGACTTAAATGAAAAATTAGCTAAGGTCTTTCAGTTTCTCTATTTTTAAGTAAGACAACCTTTTGCTAACTGTCCTCTTATGATCGTGACATGTCCTCTCTTCATCAGTAGACATCCGTCCTCAACTCTGTTGGTTCAACCTGTTTGGAAAGGATGACAGCCGTCATTAGAGAGAAGGACCGACATCCGACCTCGCTGCAGAGACACAGCAGAAGTGAGACGAGACAAGATGGATTAAAGATCTGAGACGTTGTCTGGGGCGTGTGTGAAGCTGATTTTAAACCTATTCCATATGAACAACGTTAAAATACTCTGAAAAGAGAGACATTATAGTTCAGTTCAACAAACTGAATGACCGCTGAAATTGAGTTACCATATGCCAGGGCTACAAATCACCTGCTATGAAAACTACCACTTGAACACAGAAGTACGCTGCCTTTGTCTACAACGTAAACGTGTTACAGAGAAACTATCCCTAAGACTTTCCACATAACCACAAATATCCAAAGGAGTGAGACCGTCGGCGGCAGCCATGAACGAGACCGAAGAGATGGCGCTGAAGTGCGTCCTGGTCGGGGACAGTGCCGTGGGCAAGACAGCGCTGCTGGTCCGCTTCACCTCAGAAACCTTCCCAGAAAACTACCAACCCACAGTGTTTGAAAACACAGGGGTGGAGGTGTACATGGACGGGGTTCAGATCAACCTGGGGCTGTGGGACACGGCGGGCAATGACAACTTTAGACAAATCCGACCGAGATCCTACCACCAGGCTGACGTTGTGCTAATCTGCTACTCTGTGGCCAACCCTAACTCTCTGGCCAGCGTCCAGCACAAGTGGATTGCTGAGGTTCGAGAGAACTTGCCAAGGGTGCCGGTGCTGGTTGTTGCAACCCAGACAGATCTGAGGGAGATGGGGCAGTACCGGGGAAACTGCATCTCAGCAGCGGAGGGGAGACGTGTGGCTCATGAGGTCCACGCTAAAGGCTACCTGGAGTGCTCCTCCTTAAGTAACCGTGGTGTGCAGCAAGTTTTTGAGCATGCAGTGCGAACAGCCATTAACCAGGCTAGGAAACAGGCCAGACGACGGATGTTCAGCCTCAACCAGTGCAAGGTCTTTTGACCTTTGAACTTGACTCGGGGGGCACCTCAGCCTTCATGAGAGGACATGTTTTAATAAGGGTCCTAGTGTGCTGTTCAAACTCAGTGAGAATCCATTAAGGTACAAGAACCCAAAGCTGTATTTTTTTATGTTAGGTAGGGTTTTTCTACACTGATGGGTCTCCTGCGCCCTCCAAAACACTTTGATTTAGTCATGCGTGCACTCAAATTAAAGTTCTACTTTTGTTTGATTCAGTGAGACGCGAAAAAAATACTTCATCTTCAATTCCTCTGAACTGTTTGTGAATGTACCACAGCACATCTCAGGGGTATTTCAAATGTGGTATCAGAATTGTTTTGTGTTTAACAAATACTCCATTGTTCAGGGCAAGGCACACTTAAATGCTTAAATTAAAGTTATAATAGATTTAATCTTGACACAGCATTGTTTTTTTTTAACATCTCAGTTTGGGATTGGATTGGCAAATTTAATTATTATCTGGGTTATAGAATGAATGTGGAGATAAATGATTTCACTGCCACAAATAAAATGAGAAGTTATACAGTTGCATGGATCTTTTACAGATTTTTCAAAAACTAGGAAAAGTATTTTCTCAGGCTCCTAAAATATTATTATCAAGTCAGGAAATAATTTTGACTGCATATTGAATTTTGTCAGCACCTATTCAAACGCCTCAGAGTATGAATAAGACAATTTGAGCTACATTTTAGCTGCATCAGGATATACTGTATATGTAAAGCTTATTCTCAAATGACATTTCACTAGATGTGACCAGGCAATACTCTGTCAGGCTATTTGTTTCTAAAGGTTATTTCTTAATTTGTATTTTATTTAAATATAGCTGTTTATGTATTGTTAGAACGTATGACCCGTTGCAGTGAAATAAAATGTGACAAGTGAACACATTTCAGTCATTAAAAAGCAAGAAACCTTAAAACATTGATTAAATGGTTGTTTTGATTCATACAAGATATCATTTGTAAGTTTCTTTTATACAAGTAGAGAATCCCAACTTTTAGAAATCCTACAATAAAGTGAATAAACATTGAACATCAGCATTATCGGACTTCTTGACACTGATCATTGTGCTAAATAACGGCTTTTGTGATTTTATTTTTTAAAACTGTTAAAAAAAAGAAGACATGACCTTCTACTTATGTTTCTTGCAAACTTGTCCATACATTAAAGCTAAGGATTCAACACGGCAATTGTGTAATTTCTGCAAATTTTGTTCGTAACAAAAAATGCTTTCGGAAATCATCTAATGATCTACAAGTATTTGGTTTTTACCTTCCTATCTTTTAGCGAGAGTTTGCGTTGGATTTGAATATGTGTGCATTCATCATCAATGCGCCCTTTTATGCCTTAACTCCTATAAACTCTGTAAGAATTTATAAAGGATAATTTATACATTTTTATGGAAACAAGTTCTCTTCTTAAAAGAGTATTGTGCCCATGTGTCTCATGTACATACTTATGTTACAGGTTTTGTATGTTTTGCATATCACATCTTAAATCAAACTTATATCGTGTGAAGTGTATTAAGCGTTTGCCAAATCGATGTATGAAATGTGTATTAGAATACACAGATGAGATGCATAAACACATTTTTAAATTAGAACATTTAAGTAGCGTCTTATTCCTATTTTTCTTTATTAAATCTAATTTTCGGATTTGTATAGATTATCAAAAGCTTTTTCTTGAATGATGATTAGTAAAAAATGTTGTTTGGAAAGCAATAAAACAATAGACTTGTGTTCTTTATGAATGTATTACAACACTCATACATGACTTCAAATCTTATCCAAGTGAAGTCAGTTTTTTATTTTTATATTTATTTATTATATGACATGGTCTCTATATCACATGTCAGTCACTGTGATATGAGCCTCTGTGTGTGTTTGTAGCTTTGAATGTAAGAAGATGACTTGAGGAAATAAAAACTATTCAGAGCTTAAAGATTTATTGTAGCTGCATTATAGAGACAGCGAACAGTCGACCAGGAACAACCAGGAAAAAGTTTAGAAAAGCTATTCCTCCCCCTCATGCTTCTCTCCCGCTCTTTCTCTTCATTTCTTTGTCTTATGTGGTGTTAAAAGGCGGCTGAGAATGAGAGATAAAATACAGGCTTTTCAAGGATACGCCGAAAAACACTTTACCACATCCCAACAAAGACACACACACAAACTTCTTCAATGTTACAACTGGTAAAAGAGAAACTTGTGTTTTTCTTGTACATTTCATTAAGGGATCAATACAGTGTAATCTTAACATAGCCTATAACAAAATATTTAGTGACAAAAAATGGAAATACTCATGTTTAGTACGAGTACCTTGAAAATGTATTAGTACGGGCTGCCATATAGCTCACCTGGTAGAGCTGGCGGCCCATGTATAGGGACTCAGTTCCCATGCGGAGAACCCAGGTTTGAATCCGGCCTGGGACCATGTACGCATGTCATCCCCTCTATCTCCCCCTTTCAACACTGTCATCTCCCATTAAGGTTAATCTGGCCCAAAAAATATTTTTAAAAAGAAAATGTATAAGTATGTACTCATTTAACGTCCACCACCCTGACTATGTGCAAATGAATTCCCAAAACATCTATCTTAATAAATGTACCTCATATAATCCAAAAATATGGTCACGTAATACGGTTTGTCTTTTTGTGTTTCAAGTGATAAAGAGAAAAAACTGTTTAGCATGTTAGTCGGCCTACCATGGCCTAATCTTTCATCTGTCACTGTGCTCTCCCACAACTACCACAGCATCTTAACCCACTTACTGTCTACACAAACACACACACACACACACACATCATTTGTTAGACGCTTTTATCCAAAGCGACTTACATACATTCAGTACTGTGGACAATCCCCACAGGAGCAATTTGGGGTGAAGTGTCTTGCCCAGGGACACAACGACATGCTGACTGCAGTGGGACTCGAACTTGGTACCCACTGATTCGAAGTTCAGCACACTATGCACTGAGCCACACACACACACACACACACACCACACCACACACACACACACACACACACACACACACACACACACACACACACACACACACACACACACACACACACGCACACACGCACACACGCACACACACACACACACACACACACACACACACACACACACTTCTCAATCCCTTTTGATATGTTATCAAGGAGCCTTTTTCACGGCAGACATTTTGACTAACTTTTAACTAAAAGTACGTTTGGTAATGGCTGCATTTCATTTAGGTGTTGTTGTTCCACAATCCTTATATTGTACACAAATAAAATAACAAATAATTCAGCTAATTTATATAAGCTCAAGTTGTAGAATAGGAAGATAACTAGGGAACATTCACTTAACTAAGGTACTTGCTTGTACTTTGCTTGAGTATTGAACTTTAAGGCTAAAGAAAAACATATTGTAGTTTTTTAGTCTTTTAAATGTATTTTGAATTTAGTTACTGTAAAGATTCAGATTAAAGATACTACATACAATGAATTATACATTACATTGTGATATAAAGTAGATGCATATCAGGTAAATCATATTAGCTTCCCCTTTATTAGCTGCAAATTAAAATGTATGTTCAATTTGATCAATGTTGATCAACATTTATAATGTAATAATGTAATCTACATGTTTCTAATATTATAGATTATGTTTAATTAATGCTTTTATGTTTTGTACTTGTATTGCTATTTTCACCTAAGTCAACTATCTGAGTACCCGGCACCAGTTGTGAAGAACCTGGTATAATGTTTTGTTAAATATTATACAAGTTAAATATATACAGCTTTGCGACGCAGACTATGCTTGTTAGTAGGATTAGTTAGTGTTGCTTTGGATTTGTTGACTATAAGAACATTACAGAATATCACCAGACTTGATCACCCTACTTAAGATGACTAAAGTATTGTAAACCTCAAATGATGTCTACGTCCGCAGGCAGGCATTGTTCACTAGACAGTGCTGACTATTATACACACACTTCCTTAGCTGTTACTACCCCACTGTTTTGCTAATTCAGTTGTTATCTGTGTCTCTACCTCAAAGAGACAGTAAGTCTCATCCTCTGAAGCTCCCCCACTCTCACACACACACACACACACACACACACACACACACACACACACACACACACCACATCACACACACACACACACACACACACACACACACACACACACACACACACACACACACACACACACACACACACACACACACACCACAACACACACAGGAAACACCTGTCCTATACAAGCTCAGTACCACCGAAACTTAGTGACACATTAACACATCACATCACCATACACAGTAACTGCACAATGATATAATAGAACAATTGTCTGTGACATTTCTTATTTTAAGCTGAAAGGACCCTGATTCAATTGGAATTATGAAGTAAAAACAAAAATACTTTAACAGAAAAGCTGAATATTTCGTTTTTTAGAACAACTGCGTTGCAAGCAATAATAAATGATGTGTCATTGGTGGTTTCCAAAACGAGGGGTTACGTATGGTAACCCTTGTTATATAAGCACAGGCGGAGCCCTCTACTGGACTCTATAGGCGCGTTCACACCAGAGTACTTTCACCGTGTTTAGTTCCGTTAGTACCCCTTCGTTCACACCAAAAAGAGCACTTAATCCCGGGAACCTTTACCCCCATTTTTAGTGCCTGCTGAGAGATGGTACTTTCCTGGGGGAAAAAAGTGCCCCAGTTCTGATTGGCTGGGCGAATTGCAAACCACGCCCCGTAAGACTCTGAAATGTTTTGTAGAGCCGCCATTTTATTATCCTGGCATTAGCATTATTAGCATTAGCATTCGCCCAGCGAACAAACGCAGAGAGACTAACTTATGTCAACACAAAATAAAACATGGGAGCGGTGGAGATGAGGAGGTGTCGGCGTTCTGGCGATTTACTCGGAAGACTTCAGTAGACGCTGCTGGGAGTCCCATCAACTTCTACTGAAGCCAGTCCCCAACTCCGGGGACTTCCGGCCGGGGACTCCGGGTGGCAGTATACGCCGTGAAGTTGTTTGCGGCCTGCCAGTAAACCCAAAGCAGAAGAAGACGAAGTGACGTCAGCGGCTCATTTGCGTAATCTTCCCTCAGGGAATTTATTCCGGTGTGAACGCGATCTGTACTAAGTGCCCTGGGGTAATAAGTGCCGGGGCACTGAGTACGGCAAAGTACATGGTGTGAACGCGGCTTATGGGTACTCCCCTTGATCATATCATGCAAGCATTCATCCACTGAGACTTCTATAGACATAGCCGGCCCCGGGGCGGGCCTGCCTGAATGCGCGTGCATCTCACCGCATAAAAGGAGGCTCCGCCTGTGCTTATATAACAAGGGTTACCATACGTAACCCCTCGTTATATCTCTCACAGGCTCCGCCCTCTACTGGACTCTATGGGTACAGTGGGCGACACTGTTCCATCTCACTGTCTCTGACCGGCTTTCTGGTTAGCAGCCACTGCGCCTCACTCACCTCTCCCTCGGTCGTAACCGTGGAGAAGTTGGGGCTGCGGCTGACAGAGCACACTCTGACGCTCTTACCTCGCGAAGGTGTGGTGGGAAAACAGCGCTGAGGGCTCCCACCCTCCGCCCATAGGCGGATGGAGATAGTCCTCAGTCCCTTATGGACTCACTGTGCCCCACCTCTCCCGAGTCCCTAAGGAGCACGGGGAGAGCGCAAGTGCCCCATGTCCCACACTCAGACACGTTCACCTCGTGAAGAGCGTGTATGGACTATGACGTGGAGGGCTCCCCCCTCCTGCCCTAAAGCAGGGGTAAAGAGTCCTCCAGCCCCTATGGGCCCAGTGTGCGCCACGTCCCCCGGGACCCGGGGGCCGGGGAAACGTAAGCGCATTACGCCCGGGGAGGGGGTCAGATGCCCACTGACCCACAGCCCCCCTCCCTCCTCACCAGTCCTGTGTTGCCCCAGCAAGAACAGACGATGAAAAGGAGCCAGACATGTCCAAGAGATAAAACTTTATGAAGGGGCCTGGCGTTGACCAAGACGCCGCCGTGCATATGTC